ACACTACATTACTTTCCCTCATATCTCTAACAGGGCTTAGAGAAGAGACTCTATTTTAAGGATTTGCAAAAAAGAAAAAAAAAGAAAAAAGGGCTATTTGAGTTTTCCCCTAAGAACACTGGTGCAAGCATCAGTGGTGATAATTTCTTGGATCGACTATTGCAATGCTCTCTACGTGGGGCTCCTCTTGAACTTGACCCAGAGACTACAACAGGTCCAGAACGTGACAGCCAGGCTGGTGGCTGGTGTGAGCAAATTTGAGCCTATCACTCCAGTTCTGGTTCATCTGCACTGGTTGTCTATTGTGTCCTGGATCAGGTTCAAGGTTTTTTTCTCTCTCTCTCTTATATATATAAAGCACTCCAAGGTTTGGGACCATGTTACTTGTTGGAACATCTGACCTCTATATCATCTGCCTGACCCACCAAATCCTCCCAGACCAAGCTTCTCTAGGTAGCCACCCTGAGGCCGGCCTGAAAGTCTTCCACTAGAGGCAGGGCCTTCTGTGTGGTGTCCACAACCTTATGGAATCAGCTCCCAGAGGAGCTACTCCTGGCTCCGTCCCTTTTGTCGTTCAGAAGAAACCTCAAGACTTTTTGTTTAGGGAGGCATTTCATACTGGCCCAGGTTGAAATTTGGTTCATCTCCTGTCCTGCCATTTATGTGAATTGTTTTGACACCCTCTGTTTTTCTTATATTGTGAGTGTTTTAAATGTTTGTTTAGTTTTGGTATTGGTTTTAATCTCTTGTTGCACTGCCCAGAATAGTGCTTTTGCATGAACGGGGTGGTATACAAATGTAAGAAAGAAAGAAAGAAAGAAAGAAAGAAAGAAAGAAACAAAGAAAGAAAGAAAGAAAGAAAGAAAGAAAGAAAGAAAGAAAGAAAGAAAGAAAAACACAATCCCTGAAAAATGTAACTTTTGGGAACTCTGAAGAAAGTGCTGATCTTCAAAGCATGATAAAAAGTGATGAACCAACATTTCTAAGAAACTTTCTGAGATTTTTCTTTTTCTTATTTCCCTAGAAATAGCAGGCCACTATGCAGACACACCCACCCACATTCGCCACTGGTTTATTTTTTTGGTGGCTGCCTCCCTGCCATCACAATCACCGAAGAGAGAGGGTTTCATGGAGGAAACGAAATTATCACCAAGCTGCCAGCCCAACTGTTATTGTTGCCACATGAAGTAGGAATGCAAAATTGAAAAATCTTTCAGCAAGAGAAAAAGAAGAAAACAGTGTTACAACTCCTTTAAAAACAAAAACAATGGCCTCCCTTCTGAAAAACTGTTGGGGATTTTCTTCTCCTTGTGAAATTTTGCCCCCATCATTTCTCTTCCAACAAATGTCAAAAGGCCATTTTTGCACAGCAGTATTTATTACCGTATTTTTCGCTCCATAAGATGTACCAGTTTTTTAGGAGAAGAAAACAGGAAAATACAATCTGTTTTCTTCACTCCATAAGACGCACAGACTTTCCACCCCCCTGTTTTGTGGGGAAAAAGTGCGTCTTAAGGTGCGAAAAATACGGTAATTTCCTCAGCCATCTTCAAGTGCTTCTTTTCAATTTATAAGCAGTCCATAAGTATTCATCAATAGATAAATAAATTACTAAATTAAGATATGATGCATATCATGCAATCGTAATCATTTAACTGTCTAGAGTTTTCTACAGAGTTATACTAGGTTGTGTTGTCTTCCGTCTCTTCTTCCACACTTTCTTCCTAGACAAAATGATGTATCCCTCCTTACATGCCTAACATCCAGATGAATAATCATGATGGCATCCAAGATAGATATGTCAGGTGAGGTAAACATTCTAAAACAGAACAAACCCTTAAGCGATTCCTTGGAAACATTTGTACCTGCAACTGTCACAATGATTGTTTCACATAATGCACCTGAGAAAGGAGCATTTGATGTCTGAAATGTCATTTGAATTTGTGAACTATATGGTGATGCACAAAAACCTTCCATCAAGAACTGTGAATATTAAGTTAATAAACACATAGGAACCTTTTCTACAGTACATGTAACACGTTACTTGCATATTGGCCTCTGATCTTCAAGGTCTTCATGATCAACCTCACAAATTTATATAAGTTATAAATTTCACCTAGAGATATTTCAGAAATCTGGTTCTTGTGATTTTCAATTCATATTGACCCTGATCTGCATGTCCTTTGGATCAAAACTCAGCTGTCTCCTAGATTTCCCATGTCTCCAGATGTTATGACACAGTTATTGGCTGAAAAATAATCAGTAGAAAACATGTCCTTTTGCCCCATACAAATTTGACAGGTACTCTGAGGTCATCAGGTTTTGATGCTCCCATACAGTTTTAGAGACATTTACAGTCATGGCCAAAAATATTGGCACCCTTGCAATTCTGTCAGAAAATGCACCCCTTCTCTCAGAAAATTGTTGCAGTTAGAAATGTTTTGGTACTTACATATTCATTTCTTTAGTTTGCGTTGGAACAACAACAACAACAACAAACAGAGAAGAAAAGTCAAATCTGATACAATTCCACACAGAAACCCAAAAACGCACTGGCCAAAATTATTGGCACCCTTAACTTAATATTTGGTACCACTCCCTTTGGAAAAAATAACTGAAATCAATCACTTCCTGTAACCATGAATGAGTTTCTTACACCTCTCTCTACTGGAATTTTGGACCGCTCTTCTTTTGCAAATTGCTCCAGGGCTTTCAGATTTGAAGGATGCCTTCTCCCAACTGTTGTTTTGAGATCTCTCCACAGGTGCTCTATGGGATTCAGATCTGGACTCACTACTGGCCATTTCAGAACTCTCCATCACTTTGTTTGTAACCATTTCTGAGTGCTTTTTGAAGTGTGTTTTGGGTCATTGTCCTGCTGGAAGACCCATGACCTCTGGTGGAGACTCAGCTTTCTGACACTGGTAACTACGTTGCACCCCAAAATTCTTTGGTAATCATCAGATTTCATGATAACATTCACACAGTCAAGGCATCCAGTGCCAGAAGCAGAAAAGCAACCCCAAAAAATCTTTGAATTGCCATCATGTTTGACTATAAGGACTGTGTTCTTTTCTTTGAATGCCTCATTTCTTTTTCTGTAAACAGTGCCATGATGTCCTTGACCAAAAAGCTCTGGTTTTGTCTTATCTGTGCAAAGTATGTTCTCCCAGAAGGATTGTGGTTTTGACACATAATTTTTGGCATACTCCAGTCTTGCTTTTTTTATGCCTTTGTGTCAGGAGTGGTGTCCTCCTGGGTCTCCTACCATAGTGTCCCTTTTCATTCAGATAGCGACGGATAGTGCAAGCTGACACTGCTGTACCCTGTGTCTGCAGATCAGCTTGAATTTGTTGGGAAGTTAATCTGGGTTCTGTATCCACCATTCGAACAACCCTTCATTGTAATTTTTCAGTAATTTTGTTCTTCTGTCCATGTCCAGGGAAGTTAGCTACAGTGCCATAGGCTGTAAACCTCTTGATGATGCTGCATGTAGTGGACAGAGGAACATTAAGATTTTTGGAGATGGACTTGTAGCCTTGAGATTGTTGATGTTTTTCCACAATTTTTTATCTCAAATCCACAAACAACTCTTTACACTTCATTTTTTTCTCCATGTTCAGTGTCACACACAATACAAAGGTTGAGTCAACTTTTCTCCCTCTTAACTGGTTGCAAGTGTGATTACTATATTGCCCACACCTCTTACTTGCAACAGGTGTGTCTAAATACAAATTAAAGGAGCATCACATGCTTGAAAAGCAATTATTTCTTACAATTTAGATAGGGTGCCAAAATTTTTCGCCAGTGTATTTTTGGGTTTCTGTGTGGAAAAATTTTTGCCAGTGTATTATTGGGTTTCTGTGTGGAATTGTATCAGATTTGACTTTTCTTCTCTGTTTTTTTGTGTTGTTCCAACTCAAACCAAAGAAATGAATATGTAGGTACCAAAACATTTGCAAGTGCAACCATTTTCTTAGAGAAGGGGTGCATTTTCTGACAGAATTGCAAGGGTGTCAATATTTTTGGCCATGACTGTAACTAGAAGCCCACCAGTTGCTGAGTGCAGCATCTTGCTCTTTAAATAAAAGAAAGAAAGAGGAAGGGAAGGAGCCACTACATGAAAAAGTAATTTCCTTGACCTGAAAGTTCTTTGCCCAACAGTTTATGAATTTCAGAATAAATTTTGGAAACAGCAGTATTTTTCTTTTTTAAAGAGGTTTTCATTGTTCACTACTTGTTCACTAGTTGAAAGAAACAAGTGAAATTCTTTAATAACACATTGCTAGTCCTTTTTTAATTAAAAAACCTTAAAATATATAGAAAAGGTCAAAATTCAAGAAAATGCCCCTCCAAAACAATGCTTTCAAAGCATGAGTAAAGATTACTGGTAATGTAATAAGGTTAATAATTGTAACCATATTTCCAAAAGTAATACCTTTGTTCCTTCATTGCTTCACAAAGTGATGTATTAACAATTCTACTTCATTAAGGATTTTGCTTTCCATCTCCCCAACCGTAACCATTTAACAGATCACAGATAAACATTTCAGAAATGGCAGTGGCCACAGTTTGTGATCAGTCCATTTCTCTTAATTACAGCATCCACTAATATCAGCATCTAGGATGCCACCAGAAAAAAGTAAGTGAAATTGTATGCATTATAACATAACAACAACACGGAGATTATATAACACAGATTTCAAACCAGTTCAGCATACCTTATCACAGTAATACATACAGCAACCCTGTAAAGGAATCAAGTTGTATGATTCCCATATGTTGAAAGCTGAGAATAAAAGAGAAGTGGTTTCTCTAAGGCCATTTGGTGGGCAAGAAAGGAGTTAATCCCAGAACATTCTAGTTTAAAGTTCATAGTCTCCTCTGTCACAGATTTAAAATATTTCAGTTTTCCTGTCTGCAAGGAGTTTTGCAATCGTAAAATATGAACAATACAATTTTTAAAAAAACAAACAAACAAACAAATGTTAGTCTCTTACCTCAGCTGTACATACTTTGCATGTTGGAGTACCTTCATAATGAGGACCCTATAAGAAGAGCAGATATTTAGTAATCACACTGACTATTTAAGGCATACTGTGAATCGGAAAATATACATGTGAAAACACTTTAAAATGTATGCTTGGCTGTATTAAAAGCTCACAGGGCCAGACTAGTAATGAAAAAGAAGTGTTTTACAGTTTCAGTATGTGGCTAACACAACTGGAACCACTCTTGCATTTTATTTTATTTTATTTTTATTTTATGCTAATACTCTTAATTACTTTTCAAGTCAATAAGGCACAAAAAGATAATGTACAATCAGCTTAAAACAGGGCTCAGGCTTGTAGAGTCTCTCCGATCCTTGAGAAATAATGAAGTTTATGGTATTTAAGCTTCATTCTGAGAAAGAAAATGGATCTTGGATGACAGTGAGAAAAAACACTCCATATGTACTGCTTGGTTTTTTATGATATATTATTCTGACCATTTTCTTTAAATAGTATTAAAAATCAGGATAATCTCATGTAGTTCCAGTTCCTAACACTTAATTCATGTTGAAGACCATTGTTTTTATATTCAATCTTGTATGCCACTTAAAGAAGACCACTTCATTAAGTGACTAACAGATATAATAAATAAATAACTAATGTGATCTTTCTAAAGAGATATCTTGATTACCTCCAACTGATTTGGAAGAAGAAATATGTCTGCATTGAAATATTTTGGTAGTATTTACTTATTCAGATGTAATAATCCAGATAAATTCATCTTGCATTGAGGGGCATGTGCCAGACTCAGGCCTCCATCCCTCATTTCATCACCCTACTACACGGGAAGGTTAATGATTCTGAAGAGGGGGAGTCTGCTACCTAAGACACTCTTCATGAAGGTCAGGGCCTGATTTTCCAGGGGGCCCAACTCATGCGGCAGTCTAATAGATAACAGAGACTCTTCCTCCTCAACTCATCCCCCTCCAAATTTAATAGGGTGACTGAAGGATACAGTGACAGAGGGAGGCAGGACTAGAGGACTCCGCTCTATGCATGGTGACTTTAATCAAATTATAATGCCTTGGTCGGACTTGAGACAAATATTACTTTGAGAATTTTTAACTGAAGAAATTAAAAGATAATAAAAGGGAAAGGGGGGCATTATCAAAGGAAAAGAAGGAAGGGGAGAAGGAAAAGATGATTCACAGTACAATTTTAAACATGTCTAGACTCCACTGAGTTCAATGGGTCTTACTTGCAGGTCAGTGTTCCTGGGACTGAAGAGTTAGAAAGTTGTTCATCTTGAATAGGATGGGCATTAGAACATAAATTCTCCAAAAAGAAAAAGGGATTGTGTTTGTTTCTCTTTTTTTGTCTGTTCTTAAAACTTCCCGTCCTAGTGGCTGAGTTCAACAGCCTCTCCTTCAAGCATTGTTACAAAAGAATTCATTAAAGGAATAAAAAAAAAAATCCTCAATGTTATGGAGAGTATTATCAGGCGGGTTTTGATATACACATTTTACTCTCTGTTTCTGAGAAATGGTCAGAGCAGCAGGAGTAATCTGAAGCAACTCTCTCAACTTCTCATTCCTCGGGGGTAATATATAACCTTCCTGTGTGTAGATAGCCATTGTCACGGGGAATATTTTTCTCCTACTTTCTGAAAGGATGTAATTCATAACATGAAATTAAAAACATCAAATTAGTAACCCAATCCCTGTATTCCAGTTTAATAAACTAGCGCCTTCCTTGCTTTATTGTTTTGTGCCATTGGACCAATCTGTTTTGTTTTACAAACAAAATGTGGCTTTTATTAATAAAGAAATTCAGAAGGAAAAAAAAGCCATCTTTGGCACAGTTAGAATGATGTCTCCCAGAGGCCCCCATGCTCTCATTTAAAAGAGTATTTTCTTAATCTACTGTCTGCAAAAACTAGAAAGAACATGGATATCTATGTCTTTCTATTGTTTAAAAAATTCTTTTTAAAGGTTGAATGGGGACAGCTGTGTGGTATTGCTCTATGCTATTGTGTCTGGGATGGGCCTCTGTGACAAAGCTTTGCTGTTGGACACTGGATGTTCAGATCTCTGTTCGGCTATTAAAATTATCCTCTCTGGGCCAAAATGGGATGCTAAGTTTTTTCATAAACAATCGAGGGAGAGTTAAACGAAAGAAAATATTTTTTCATGGCCTGAGCATGTGAAGATGTGAAGGCCAAACGCTTTCTCCTTCTGTCACTGCAATCCCCTGAGGTGGGAGGTATTGGTACTTTGAGAGAGAGTTTCTAGGAAGTTTAAATTTTCCCTCCCCAGTACAGTCCCAGGGAAAATAATCTACCATCTACTATTACCTTTTGGAGGTAAGTCCTGTTGGCTTTTCCCCAAGGTATTAATAGCAGCAGCCACGGACCAGAGTGAGGAGGAAATGTTTCAACCTCTCATCCCTGTATGCTGTGGTTCCAAGAAAATATGCCCTCTCTCTCAATCCCACTCCATTGATTGAAGTGGATCTACTTTAAGTATAACTTACTATACTAAAGCAAGCCACAGCTAGAGCAATCCCATTTTCATTAATGGAATTTACACAGAACTTGACTCACCAAATCCCCACTGATTCAATGTGCCTAATCTGGTGCAGTTTACTATGATAAGCAACAGGATTTTGGCCATATCTTGTCTCACTTGGTCTTAAAAGGCTCCCCACCACACCTCATCCACTGGCTGCATAGCCAGATGGAACAATGGGAGATGAAAAAGAAAAGAAAACACAATGAAATAAAGGAGACTAGACATGGAAAGGGAATAGCAAGAAGATTCAGAAAAGAGGGTTTGCTATAATATAGCTATACGGATCATTTTGACAACCAAGAAAGAATATCCAGGTTAGCAATGGAAAGTGCCTTCTTTTAAATTGGCATTTTTCAGAACTAGTGGTTAGTGCCAGCTGACTCATAATTCTGCTTTCTTCTTTCCCAAACTGATACTATTTCCATTTTAAAGACAAACACAAAATTAAGTACCACTTTAGATACTTCTAGAGCTAAATTTCAGTCAAGCCACCACCTGATATTCATTTTATTTTCTGAACACCCAAATCTATCACAGTGCACCATCCTGACACTGCCAAAGAAGCATATTAGTGCCCCAAAATATTCTTAAAATATGAAGGTGAAGGAGGGGGGAAAGGTAAGAAATGTTCTTAGATGATAGCAAATTAATAGATTTCTAGATTGAAAAAAAAAACTACCATACGGTATCTCTGAAGTGCTAACAGGAAACATGGCTTCCAAGCACAAAGCACAGTAGATCTCAAAAAAGAAACTATCAGCTAATTTTGAAATATGAGTTCCTTGTATTATACTGTAGCCAAGAGGATAAGCAAATACAAAAGCACTCTGATTTACTACTTCAAAACACAGGAACAGTTTTTCCTGTATGGTTCCTGTCCAACGTTGTCCATCACTAACTATGGCAAAATATTCTCAGAACAGCATAATCAGATCTCATAGTTTCATTTTTACAGCCAAGAAGGGATAGGCACGTTCCAGAGCTGTAAAGAACAGAGGAAGAATATTCCATTTCACAGTATTTGAAATGCTCAAATCTGCATTTGAAAACTTCAGAAGCAACTGCAGAGGTTATAAAAACCACAACCGAGAAGTTCTTTATTCTGTCCCCTGGGTCAGTCATCTTGTTCAATTGCTACTCACCTTGCATTGAGGAGATGTTCAGCAAAAGGGGTAAAAAATGAGCAGCATTTTCATACATAACAGATATCTTCAAACTTTAAAAATGTAAAGCCTTCCCTCTACCAACCTGAATTTGTACTACTGAAATATGCAGAAAGTGAGACAACTACAATCAAGACAACTGCTTTCATATTAAATCATTCATTAAATATAGCCATTTTGTAGTGTTTACGAATTATCATGTTTTCATGTTACGGTCAAGTGCTGAGAGCTAAATCTGGGTTTGTTCCAAAGGCACACTGTACAGCAAACTTGCTAAATGGTTGTTGTTGTGGGTTTTTCGGGCTCTTTGGCTGTGTTCTGAAGGTTTTTCTTCCTGACGTTTCACCAGTCTCTGTGGTCGGCATCTTCAGAGGACTGTAGTAGGAACTCTGTCCATGCTCTGTTGCTGTTTGTTGGATAGTTGAGTATTTATAGCTGTGGGAACAGCTTTTGTCCTTTTCAGGAGGTAGGGTGATGATGGTGATCAGCATGTTTTTGTTGTGGATATATTGTTGTGATAAGGGGGAGAGATTATCTGTCACTGTGATTGATGGGTGTCTTTAGCTCATCTTTTTTGTGCAATAATCCTTGGTCCTTGTGGCTGAGTAGAGTTTGTTGACCTTTTGCAGGCTGTATTTTTCAGTGCTAGGAGCCAGGCTTTATTGAGTTTTAAACCTTCTTCTTTTTTGTTGAAGCTCTGCTGGTGTTTATGGATTTCAATGGCTTCCCTGTGCAGACTAACATAATGATTGCTGGTGTTGTCCAGTATTTCAGTATTTTGAAATAGAATTTCATATCCAGCTTGTTTTAGGGCATGTTCAGCTACTGCTGATTTTTCTGGTTGTTTTAGTTTGCAGTGTCTCTCGTGGTCTTTGATTCTGGTGTGAATGCTGCATTTTGTGGTTCCAATATATACCTGTCCACAACTGCAAGGTATCCGATATACTCCTGCAGTGGTGAGGGGGTCCTTTCTGTCCTTTGCTGACTGTTAACATTTGTTGTATTTTGTGGTGGGTCTGAATACTGTTTGTAGATTGTATTTTTTCAAAGGTTTCCCCATGTGGTCCGTGACCCCTTTGATGAATGGCAGAAATACTTGCTAAAGCTAAGCAAATATGGTTCAAGACCAATTGCCGGCCCCAACTGGAGTAGTCCTACTGAATCAGTGAATTTCCCATGAATTTCCATCCTGAGCTGTCATAAGTGCACCTGAAGACCTGGAACCAGAAGGGTTAACTGAGGCTGAGGAGAATGCTGAGCAATCAGAAACACCTGAATTGCCTCCAGATTCTCCTTCCTCAGCAGACAAGCTTCGGGTCAGGCT